ATTGCATTATGCATGAGTTGCATTACATTCATGGGCATTGATGTGGGTGGGAATGTGTGCATGATATGAAATCAATCACCACATAGGTGGTTGATCGTGGGCTCGAGAAAGTCGTACCAAGGTCCGGCTGAGTCGTATGAGAAATTAAATGGATAAACGTGTCAAAAATAGCAAGAAGAGTTAGATTCTTCCTTGGGTGCAAGACCCGCTTACTTGGTTTATACACTTTTGACGGTGAAATTTCAGAAAAGTGTAATAGCCAAAATGGAGCCGTAGGTGGGATGTCATGAGAATCTGTTGATGGTTGGTGTCCCATTGGTGTAATATCATAAATCATCTCCCTACAAAGACACAAGAAAATGAATTAATTAGTCATCGAGTGTACATAACACCAATGATGGGGACTTGAAATGCTCAAATACATACGCATGACATTGCATGTGTTATGGGAGCTCAGGATGAGGCTCGGTATTGGTATTGCTTGCATGAGTCTCATCTTATAGCATGACATGATTTATGATATTGTTCATAATAGACATATTTGAATGAATATATGAAATAATTGTTACATGTGACATTTCATATGTATTTGGGTTAAGAGGTATTCTCTATAGGAGTTACCCTGTTGAGCGTTGACTCACCCTTTATGGGAACATTTTTCAGGTATCACGCAGGTATTCATCGAAGGCGAGGCCATGGGCCTGCTTTGACGATAGAGTCGATCTGTGACTCTTATTTTGATTTTGCAGTTCTTTGTATATGTTTACTTTTGGCCTTGTATAATTTTTGTAAATGAAAATTTCTTTTATATTAAAAAGACATATATATGAGACTCTTTTGAGACATTTATTCTTTTATGAATGAATGTACGTAGTGATGATAATTATGGTAGTATCCGATACTATTCTATTGAGTATGGATGAATGGGCCTGGTGTGGTCAATATTATATGATTGCACAGATTTTATTTTGGGTAGAGCTCCCCGTACAAAGGAGACTCTACCCAAATTTTGTTAAGTTATGAACCCGATAAATGGGGCATAACGACGTGGTATCGAATTATATGGTGCCCATGAATATTCTGCGGGTTGATGGGTGACCAATCGGGTAATTACAGACACCTGAATTTTGAAGTGTTACAAAATTAATGGGTTGTTTTAATTTAAATTTTATGGGTTGATTTTGGGTGTAATTAAGTATATTTAGCATAATTAACGGACTGTTACAAATAGGTTTCAAATGGGTATTAAACTAAATGTGAGAAAAATGTGAAAAATAGCTATTTGAGATACTCGGTATGTTTTTTGAGAGTTATGTTGAAAATGAAAATTATGGGAATGAAATGGGTGGTATAAAGATTCAATTAGGGGCTGTTTTGCATTGATTAAAAGGGTATATGATAATAAATATGACTCTTTTAAACAATAAGTACGATAGATGTTAGAAATGAGTGTCGGTAACGCTAAAACCTTGATTTTTAAATGTTATTATCATATATGTGAATTTTAATCCAAATGATCAGAAATTTTGCATGCAACATTTTTAAATGATGCTTGATGTGATAATGTACAAATGAATATAATATCCGGTGCGAAATGTATAAAATGCTGAAAATATAATTTTTAGAATTCGGGGTCGAAATGTATAGAAATGGACCCTCGGTCAATGTGTTTGACCTACTTAATCCTAATTATGATTAATGTGAGTGATTATGAAAATTGGGACACTTTGCGGTGCATCATTTTGCATGCATTAGTGCGTGATTAACTATTAAATATGATAAACATATTAATATTGTAATTACAAATGTGTTAGGTGGAATAAGTCCGACAGTTGGTATTGGAACATATACGGTGACACCGAAAAGATCCACCGATATGACTGAAAGACCATGAATTTGTACATCTGAGATGAGTGTATATTTTTATATGTTTTAAAAATGCTATTATAAGATGATAGTAAATGATAGAATTTAATAGCAATTCTCCAAGATTATGTATTAAGTGCTTATGTAATTGAATGATGCTTTGTAATGTATGTTGTGTATTGTGGAATATGGTGCACTGTTTGAGACAAGGGCGTCGATGCCTGATTACTATACGTGTAGTGGTGTGCTAGCACTGTGGTGTTCCCGGGAGGTTCGGGAGATACGGATCCATGTGGGATTGATTACTTGATGAGGGGTAGTATGAATGTAATGTGGCTTGTGAATTCTTTGGAATTGAATTGATGCTATTGTTTGATACATGTATCTACGTAGTACCTACCTATGTCAGTGTATTACTATCATTTTCATTTTATATACAACATATATATTCACTGAGCGCGTGATTTTGCTCACACCCCTATAATTTATTCTTTTCAGGTACTATAGAGGAGGATACAGACCAGTCCACTGCCTAGTTGATTGAGTCTTGTACAACGTTAGTGTGATATCACTTAGGTTGAGTGTCAGTATAACTAATTTTTGGGTTGTGCATTATATTTGTGAGAGATTATTATTTTAGGTTAATAGTATATATTTGTAAATAGACTTAACAAGCATACTTTGTGATGTATGTTATATGGGTGTAGGATTTTGTATATGTCTATAACTTGAAAAACAAACGATTAGTACAAGTTATGAGACATATTTTACCATCATGCTTAATAACTAAGGTGATAGGTGGTGTTGTTGTACGTGTGAGATTATTTAATGTTTGATTAGTTCAAATTATAATAATTGTAAATAGGTATATCAAAAATTTAGTTGTATCTCATTCTTGGAAGACAGGGATGGGACGTGACACAAGTTTTTATCTTGGGCCGCCCATCCTAAGCCTAGAGCATCCAATGAGCCCCTTGGTTACATGGCAGCTCACACGATTCATCCGTAACCTGCCTATCTTGCCATAAGAATGAGCCACAACCCAAAGAAGAGAGTCCAATGACGCCTAGATAGATATGTGCTTGCTCGGCCACATCAAGCTTGACAGAAATCAACCCAGGAATAAGGAGTTCGATATTCGTTAAATCTCGAGCATCTTTTGTTACGTCACGTGTTCACGGGACATCTTCTGGAGTACCTAACGAACACGTACTCCCTAATAAAGAAAATATTTGTGTACATTCCGTTTTAAAGATCGTGAACACAATTTGCGTCAGAATGACATATACCATTATATGACAAAAGAAGAGGAGACCACATAATCAACCAAGGAAATGAAAGAATAGCAGAAAATTCTAGATGATTACTTGTATAAATAGAACACGGATGTACTATATAAGAGAGTTCCAAAAAATCGTATTCACCACCACTGCATACAAAGACTCTAAATCAAGAAATCTATTGTAATCTTCTTATTCAAGCAGTATAACTTCAAAGAGTAAGAATTTTCATTACAATGGATGTAGCGTTGATTTTTCGACTAAGGTGAATCACTTGCACTATTAACATCAAAATAACACTATTTTATTAAATAAAACATAGTTTTAATGTGAAACGTTTTTAATAACGACCTCTTTGTGCAACTTGAGGATCTGGACACCTTCCTCCCTCCCCGTAATAGTGTTAAAAAAAAAAAAAACGTTGGACGGGCGATGTCCCATTCCCATTGATTCTCTGTACTAAACGTAATATCGNCTGCCTAGTTGATTGAGTCTTGTACAACGTTAGTGTGATATCACTTAGGTTGAGTGTCAGTATAACTAATTTTTGGGTTGTGCATTATATTTGTGAGAGATTATTATTTTAGGTTAATAGTATATATTTGTAAATAGACTTAACAAGCATACTTTGTGATGTATGTTATATGGGTGTAGGATTTTGTATATGTCTATAACTTGAAAAACAAACGATTAGTACAAGTTATGAGACATATTTTACCATCATGCTTAATAACTAAGGTGATAGGTGGTGTTGTTGTACGTGTGAGATTATTTAATGTTTGATTAGTTCAAATTATAATAATTGTAAATAGGTATATCAAAAATTTAGTTGTATCTCATTCTTGGAAGACAGGGATGGGACGTGACACAAGTTTTTATCTTGGGCCGCCCATCCTAAGCCTAGAGCATCCAATGAGCCCCTTGGTTACATGGCAGCTCACACGATTCATCCGTAACCTGCCTATCTTGCCATAAGAATGAGCCACAACCCAAAGAAGAGAGTCCAATGACGCCTAGATAGATATGTGCTTGCTCGGCCACATCAAGCTTGACAGAAATCAACCCAGGAATAAGGAGTTCGATATTCGTTAAATCTCGAGCATCTTTTGTTACGTCACGTGTTCACGGGACATCTTCTGGAGTACCTAACGAACACGTACTCCCTAATAAAGAAAATATTTGTGTACATTCCGTTTTAAAGATCGTGAACACAATTTGCGTCAGAATGACATATACCATTATATGACAAAAGAAGAGGAGACCACATAATCAACCAAGGAAATGAAAGAATAGCAGAAAATTCTAGATGATTACTTGTATAAATAGAACACGGATGTACTATATAAGAGAGTTCCAAAAAATCGTATTCACCACCACTGCATACAAAGACTCTAAATCAAGAAATCTATTGTAATCTTCTTATTCAAGCAGTATAACTTCAAAGAGTAAGAATTTTCATTACAATGGATGTAGCGTTGATTTTTCGACTAAGGTGAATCACTTGCACTATTAACATCAAAATAACACTATTTTATTAAATAAAACATAGTTTTAATGTGAAACGTTTTTAATAACGACCTCTTTGTGCAACTTGAGGATCTGGACACCTTCCTCCCTCCCCGTAATAGTGTTAAAAAAAAAAAAAACGTTGGACGGGCGATGTCCCATTCCCATTGATTCTCTGTACTAAACGTAATATCGTTGCGCCGCGTGTGTGCAATCATATTTGACCCAAGTGGGGCCCATCCCTCATTCTCTCTCTCTCTTGGGGACCTTTATTTATGTCAAACAGCCAACTTTAGTTGCTGTATTTATGTCAGTATGGCCGCAGTCCGGCCCCCCATTTCTCACTCTTCAAACCTTTTCTCAGAGATCTAACATCTAAAACCTAAAACACATACACACTCGCTCTCTTTTCCAAAACCAGAGCGTCGAACTCCGAAACTCTCACCAACTCATGGCCGCCACTCGGACGCGAGCACCGGGGGACTCATCAATCCAAGTCTCTCTCATACAAGTTGAATCGGACGAGTCTCAGCTCGATCAATCCTTGCAGAGACTCGAGATTTTCCTCAGATTGTTCGGCTTCTGTCAGTATTCTCCGTTCAGCACCACTCTCTCATGGCTTCTATTTGCTCTCACCGCAGTAGGCATACCGATACTCATCGCGTTATACTCTAAATGCTCCGACTGCGAGAAGTACGAAATCAGAGAGTTCGAGTTCGAGATTCTAATCTTCCAGGCCATCGTCGCCTTCATTTCGCTTCTCGGCATTTCTCACAATCTTCGCAAATATGGTTTACGGAAGCTCCTCTTCGTCGATCGGTGCCATGGTCACACGCCTCAATTTCGCAATCAGTATATTCAGAAGATCCAAGTAAGAAAGAATAATCAATCTTGATTGTGCATAATTAGTGTTTTGTATAGTAATAGATACTACTTGATCTGGTTTTTCAACATCAAGTATTTATCTTTTTACCGAGTTTGAAAGCAGATTTTGCTCCTCAAATCATTAAAAACACCTCCATAATGCTAAGTATTCTAATCAATTTCAACATTTACTTGTACTTTTTAGCAAATATATTTGTTTTTTCCTTCTAATTGTACGTGTGATTTGGCCTTGGAGATAATATTTTTCCAGTGAAGTTTATCAGTAACATACTTCAAAACATTTGCGAGTGTACTGTATAGTGTACACTGTACACTTGCAAGTAATCACAAAGACTTGCTCACCTGTCACAGAAGCTTAAGGGAAGGCCGGATCTAGACTACGTTTTTAGTCGCGTTGACTGAGATCTTCAAATAACAATAGGTGTAGTCATGATTCTATCATTCACCGTTAATGTCATTGTATACAATGTATATTGCATTCGAATCCATGGAAATAATTCTTAAGTGCAAAACAAGATTGAAGTTAACAAATCACAACGTACTTCTTTTACACTAATGCTACTTCAGTTTTATGAGAGGGGTTGAAGCTTAATATTGATGAATTCTTTTGTTATAATTTTTGTACTTTGTGGATATCGTTGTTTCAAACAACCTAGTTGACACAACCAACCAAAAGAAAAAAAAGGATGCTTGAATTGAGGGAAGAATACTTTACATCTTCTATTGAAGTTTACTTGAAGGATGGAAAACTTTCTTGCTTTGTACTTTTAAATCTTCTATCGTTCTACAATTCAAATTAGATCATTCAAAAGTTTCCTTTTTGACTTCGAATAAGAAGCTGATCAAGATTTGCTAATGTCATTTCTTTTGGCTTGTTTTTTTGGTTTGTCCAGGACTATCGATATGTTTTCTCTTGCAGCTGAAATGGTTATGTTTATTTTGTGTAATCTCTCTTATCAAATTGTAGATTTTAACTTTCACCTGTAATCATCCAGGGATATTTTAGGAAGCTGGTTATCTGGATATCACTGTGCTTTTTATTGAAGACTGCTCGTGAGGTCACTCGTATTATCTATCTGCATCACAATATCTCTTGGCTATCAGTTGCCATTTTGTTTGCTTCACTTGTGTCATGGACCTATTCCGCCACACTGTATCTATCAGGCACTGCTTTGTTCAATTTGGTGGGTAATTTGCAAATAATACACTTTGAAAGCTATGGGAAGCTTTTAGAAAGAGATCTGGATATTTCAGTTTATGTTGAAGAGCACATGCGTCTAACATATCATCTGTCCAAAATAAGCCACAGGTTCCGGGTATTTCTTCTTCTGGAGTTTTTGGTTGTGACTGCTAATCAGTTTGTTGCTCTATTGCAGACAACAGGGAATATTGGAATTATCAACCTGATTAATGCCGGTGATTTTGCAGTAAGTGCTAGTAAACATTTATCAATTGGGGGTTTACATGAGCAATGCTTTTCTGTTAGCTGGGAGGGAGGGAAATGTCAATGATTATGATGGTAGTTCAGCAATAAAATTTTGCATTTTTTTCACCGGAAAGTTATAAAATTTTGGTTAATTGACACCACATGATGTAACTTCTTTACCTTCATAGGTTGAGTTTTACCAGGATTACCAAATTTTCTGTGATAGTTATTCATTTGACAGATGAGAAAATTTTAGATAAAGGTTTTTTTTGTCTCCTCATAGGATTGGATTCATTTCAAAATACTCTTACCTTGCAAACCTCTAAATTTAGGGATTGTTCAAATTGTTGCTGCAACAGTTAATTATCGAATTTGTCCTGGCATATTTCTGTCTTTATAACTTGTTTCCTGTGCCTACGTACTATGTCATTTTTTAGCGACAAATTGACCAAATAATCTCGTAAAAATTCCCTTTATTTATGCCCTGATGCTCTTAAGACTTGCTTCGCTTTTGAATGTTCTAAAACTTGGTGTTTTTTTGTGCTCTTTTTCAACTATGCAGGTCCTATCAATTGTTCAACTGGTTGGAATAGTTCTTTGTCTGGCTGCAGCTGCAAAGATTTCACATAGAGCTCAAGGCCTAGGATCAGTTGCTAGTAGATGGCATGCACTAGTTACATGTAATTCTAATGAGGCTTCTCAATCTGGGATTTCAACTAATGATGGAAAGTCAGAGGCTGCCAATGCTCAGGTCTCATTACGTATAAATTACTCGGAAAGTGATTTGGAGTCGACTGATTATGTACCGCTGCCCACAGATACACACCTGACTTCTCATATGTCATCATATCACAAGAGGCAAGCCTTTGGTATGTAATCCTGATAATTAACTGGACTTCTTTGTTAGTTTTTGCTCTTCTATTGAAGGTACCTCTAGATGCAGATGAAGGTTGAGAGATCATTGTCACTCTATATATGCTTGGTTGTATGACCTTGAATTGATTTCCTTCTTTTCTATGATGAAAATGCTATTCAATTTCTCTCTTCTTCAAAATACCACAATATTGTGGAGAAAATTAGATTTGACATAGTTTGCTTGTGTCCAACTAAGTGACAACTAAGAAAGGATGATGTTGAGCTTCTCAATTCTCCAAGCTATTGACTGGAAGAGTGCAACCACCATATCATCTGGTAGGACATGCCTGAGTGTCAACTCTTGACCTGCACACTTCTGTTTTCCCTTTAAGGCAATTGTTTTAGGTAAACCATAGGTCTATGTGCTTCAACCCCCCCTTTCCTTTCTTTTCTCCATATTTCAATCCCCTTTCAATGCTGTCTTCCCCTATCCTTGCAGTGCTGTCACCCTATCCAAATTAGTTTTTCGAATTCCTGTATCCCTCACCCGGTCCCCAAATACTCTACTAACTCACAGTTAAGTGCTGTTATGGTTTTGATGGAGTTCCTTAGAATTGTGAGCGAACTTTTGCAATCAGATAGGACATGTTTGGATTCAAGTCTAGTACTAGAGGGATGATAATTAACCACTGATAATAAGATGATGCCTGTTACTGATATGTGGCTCGTCTCAAGATCAATTCCTCTTAAAGAATATAGATCCCAAGGCTTATGTTAGTTTGTGGGTGGAAAAGACTAAATTTGCATCCTTTCAGAGATGGTTTTTCCTTGGTTCTCTAAAAGCAAAAAATGTGATCCCATTTTTTGTTTGCAAACTAAATTCCTATGATTTTTAGATCTTTGATGTCCTGTCTTCATCTATTTTCCATCCTTGTGTAACTTTTATGTGCCTCTGAACAACTAAAATTAGAAAGCCTAAAGGCCACTCTTGGTTTGTATTGTATGTGTATTGACTCAAATTTGACGGGTTCTTGCAGTTACTTATGTGCAGTCCAACACCGGTGGGTTTACTGTTTTTGGATGGATGGTCGATCGCATACTCATCAATACAATATTCTTCATTGAGCTCTCGCTGGTTTTCTTTGTACTTGGTAAAACCATAACTGTTAAAGTCAGATGACATCTACTAAAAACCCTCATGCAGCGTACATCAGGGATTCCTCCAGCCTATTTAATGGAGGCAGCACACCATTTTACCAGTAAGAGTATTTGCATTTGGCAGTTTGTTTTGCTCACATGATATCCATAAAGTTCGACGGAAGCCATGCTTACAGTCGATACTGATGCGAGGTTTTATTGTAAAGATTGTCATGATTATATCACTTATTTGAGTTTAATCCAAAACTAACCAAGCAGTTGTTTGTGCTTTGGATATATTTATGATTATAGTTTGTTTGCTGTATTGTATGTGGGCCTTCCATAGTGTTTTATTGTTAAATATAGTCATGATTCTTATGCCTCTAGCCCCACGTTAAGCACGTCAGTGCAACTTTATAGTTTAATGCTGTACTTCTGACCTCAACGGTCACAAGGCCTAGGTTAAGATAATTCCCACTCTCTCTTTCAGAGGAGTCTGGATGGACGAGATTCAAAAACCCTAGGCAAGAGCATGTTGAGGCCCAGGGTAACTACATACAAACTATGTTGACCAAGATTATTCTTGAACCTTGAAGATAGGGCTTGGACTTCATTCACTACACTTTCTATTAATTTTTTTCCTAGTAGACCATCCACTCACTATTTATGCACTATATATAGTTAAATCCAGTGATACATGGTAGATTCTACTTGAATTTATAAAAAATGTATTGGAGAGAATCTAGATGTTTCAATATATGGTCATAGGTATGCCTGAACACTTGTCTGGATCTATGCTTATGACCAACCTAGTGGGGATTACAACCCCTGCCGTACCTGTACCCAAACCATTTACTGCCCATGGCATACCACCCCTCATCCCTGCTCATATCCCCATAGAGAGGATAGAAAGATGAGATGAGAGGGTGAGCAGTTGAAAAAGAGAATTATGAAATAAGGTGATGAAAGTAAGAGTAACACACATTATTAAGATTTTTGTTTTAATTTCAATTTTAGTGATGAGAGTTTGAGATCCATCTATAGAGAGCTCACATCCATAATGAGAAGAAAATTTCATGCCATGGGATTTGGTCAAAAATGTGAATTACATTAAGTATCACTAAAAGAGAATAGTTGAAGAGACTCTTGTTTCTCTCATTTACAAAGTTAAGAGGTTAGATTAAGCAAAATTTTGTCAAGCTCTAGGGGTGGTCAGCTTACGAGCCTTAGAATGTTGAACTGTAAAAAAAAAGGCAAGAACCCTTTCGATTTGGGGAGAGGGACTTCACTGAACTAGCCATGATCAAGAGCAGCTTCTGCTGTTATTCGCTGCACAAGTAACAGAAAATCATAAATAACCGCCATAATAATCTCTTTAAATGCAAGAGGAAATTGCTAAGCAATGTAATTTGAACAAGAATAAAAAATATTACCTTATCAGTATCATAAGTCAAAAGCTTGCATAACAAGTCATATCCCAACTCAGTAAGAACGGGAGATCCTGTGAAAGTTGCAGCAGGAAATTTCTTGCGTAGCAGATTTTACATGAAAAAGTTACGTTTTTATGGAAGTTGCCTTAAAAAATGTAGCAAGTTTAGAAATGAGAAAGATGGAAAAGCCACAACAAAAGAACTTCAGATTGACAATGCATAGATAAGAAATTCACGGTTGTTTAACGAAATTAACATGAGTACCAGGCAAATTGGAGAACCCTGGCCAAATTGTCTCATTTGGTGCGCCGAGAGTCCTGAAAATCTGCAATTTGCGATTAAAAACACACCAAAAACACATCACTGGAACGATCAAAGAAATAAATGTCAAAAATAATCTTCCAGAATGTGAAAACAATGATAACCTTGTCAAGCTGTTCAAGTTCAGAACCTCCTTTAAACAGTGGTTCCTTGGCCAAAAATTCTGCCAGCCATTATACATCTCACCGCCCACATGTCAGTTGCAGTTGAATATTGTTCTGTCTGTAGCAAAAGTTCAGGAGCCCTGCAATTAACAGTGTACAAATTCTTGAGATCGACAAAACTGACATAATAATCAGCGAACAATGGTGGTCTAAAACAGTACCAACCATTCAAAAGGTCAATAAAAAATATGCAAACCTCATCAAACAACTTGGTCCCAGCAAAGGAAACATAAATAACAATGCTTGTGCATACAAAATAAAACTTATTCATACATTAGGTCAGTGAAATAAGTACAGATAAGCTAACGTACTTATTGATCACCTAGTTTGTTTCACAGGAGTAATGTAAGCTACTTGCATAGATCCTGTAGTTTTTGACATAAAAGCATTTTAAGCAACCTTGATTCTATATGTTGAGTGGTCCGAAGATCATGACCTCCACTTGATTTTATGTCATTGTAAGCCCCCTTCTTATATTTATGGCTGTCTTTCTTAAAGTGACGAAAATCTCTCTTGCTCGAAACGTCGTGTCTCCCTGCCGCCATAAAAACCACAACTCTTCTTAAGCAACCAATGAAACCCAAATATATATATATACACACACACAGAATTGAAACCACTATATCAAACCTAAACACCCAAATTCACAAAATCCTCACCCTAAAAATCAACTAAATATATGTTTAGATGTTTTGTCCGAAAGAAAGGCAGAAACCTCAGATTTACAACAATCAATTCGAAATCCTAAGATATTGTATTTACTAACTAACAAAATATACGAATTTTCTATTCTTTTTGTTTGGTGGTAAAGCAGAATATAAATCAGAAAACCTATGGTGTATGAAGCAAAAGAACAATTGATGATGTTCTCTTTCTCACTCTTCGCTGGTAAGGATTTGCAGTCGAAAATTAATCACGGGTATTGAAAGGTCTTACTGGAAGTCGAATATCTGTCTGTCGCCGACGAGGATCGAAACTTTCTCCGATGCGTTGCGGTTAGTTGCTCTCTCTCTCTTTCTCTCTTCGATTATTGGCTTTTGTCTGTTTTATAGCCTTCCCCCGTAACCGAGTCCATATTCTCTTGGAATTCAAGGAAGCCTAATCGCCTTGGGCCTTCAATTGGTGGTTTGGAGAAGGAAGGCTCACTAAACTTGAATTTTGGGCCACTTGAGTAGCATGTTGCTTTGATTTTCTCTTTCCGAGTCCAAGACATATTCTAGTTTCAAGTGTTAGTTTGGGTTCAATATTGGGCTTAGCCCACACACTGCCGCAGGAGGAAGTGTGGGATCTTATTTTTCTTGAGCGTGAGTATATTTTTTTAAATTTATTTAAAAGGATGCGTATGGATAAGTTATTTATTCTATTAAGTTTAATTTTAATAAAATATTTTGTGATTAGGTACAAAATTTAAATGACATTTTATTTATTTTACTTACTTACCCTACTTTAAATTGTGCATAATTTTTTAGAGCAATGTTGCATGCACCTAAAAAGTAGACTTAAAATGTAGACTTGATAATCTCAACAATTGATTTCATTGTGGGTTCTAGCATTTATTGGGACTTATTACCTATTCAATGGTTGAGATTGTTAAGTCTAATTTTTAAGTCCCTCTAACATTACTCTAATTTTTATTCTTTCGCTTTCCCTCTCCCCTTATTTCTCACACAGTTACTCTCTCTCTCGCTGTCCATTGCTCACTCACTCTTTCTCCCATATTCTCTCTATCTCTCTTCACTATTCTCTCTATCTCACCCCAATTTTCTATCTCACTCATTGATAATTTATTTTCTTTTTAAATATGTAAATATTTGATTTTTTCATCTCCCTCTCTCTCTCTTATTTTTTCTTAGTGTTACTCTCTCTTGTTATATCAACGTTATAATAAAAACAATTACAGAGGTGTTAAAACACCATCATAAGGAATTTTTTTTTTACTGATTCACGAATGAAGGATGATTGATCGATTAAACCACGTCTAACCTGTACAAGATAGCTCTACTATATCAAAAGAAATTATTTTTTTAGCATCATACGTTTAGTTAGGATAAGAATGTGGATATATGTAGAGCCATTTAATTTTGTATTTTTTTTTGGTTTATTATTTTCATAAATAATAACTATAGATAACTTAAATCAAGATTAATAACAAAAAATATTTTTAATATCTTAATTTTATTATTTTCTTAAATAATAACTATAGATAACTCAAATCAAGATTAATGACAAAAAAATATTTTTAATATCTCAAAATAAATTCTCACTATGTTATCAAACAATCATTTATTAGGGTTAGGCCGCCCCTCACTAATTTCAATATAACTTCTTTAAATTATTTTTGAATAGTGAGAATTTATTCACGTCACTCAATATAGTTTAGTTTGAATTTAAAATTTTTTTTGAATGAGAAAAAATGCATTGACATGAATAAATTCTCGGCATTTAAAAAAATTAAAAGATCAAAAAATAAATTAAAGAGGGTCAAAACCCATTTTCAATTCGAAGTTTGATACTTTGTTTTTTTAATAGCAATATTACAAGAGTTTTTCTAATATTACTCTATATTTTAAAGAGCATCTTTAATAAAAAATTAAAATAAAGAATAAAATACAATTCTAATGAGCTCTTTATTCTATTAAAAAAAAATATTCTTATAGTTAATAACATTTAATAAAAAACATGTGCCAGTGTTCATTCATTAAAAATAAAATAAAGAGTAAGTTGGACTCTCTAAATATGGAGAGCAAAATAAGACTTTGTTTTTTTAACTAGCATAAATAGTGAGACTGTTATAACTTGATTTTTGGTGATTAAATAAAGAATTGAGCTAAAATAAAAACACATGTCATATACTCTAAATAAGGAGGAAATATTAAACGTAACAGTGATAAACAACTCACTTAGTTTAATAACTATACTATCCATGTAAAAAAATAATCACCCCATAGAAAAAAATAGAGTTCACCACTTCACCTTGCCTGTTTATTATTAGATGATGACATTATGTAATAATAATGACAGAGACAATAGCTCAAGTGATAATAGGGAGCAGTTATAAACCAAAATGTCCTTTTTTTGACTGGACTAAGAAAAAATTAATTGAGATACGCATAAAATAATTCGAATAAGGGCGGAGAGCGAGTGGGTGTAGTGGGGGCAGGCAATTGCCTCCATTGAGGTTTTGAAAACTTTTAGGGTTAGTTTAAAATTACAAGAAAATTAAAAATTTTCAACACTTGCCGCCACTAATTTGTTTTTTAAAATTTCTTAAGATTTAATTTCACAATTCTTTTTTTGTTCTCTAGTTATTTCTCTTTTTTTTTTTTTTACAGTGACACACTATGTTACCAAACTCATCTTCCTCTAAATTTGATTACCTAGATATGGATTATTATGTTTTATTGATTATTCAAGGTTGAATATACTATTATATTTCAAGAATTTAGATTTAAATATACCAAAATTTGATCTAATTGTTAATCATAAATGATTAATAAAAATACATGCACATACATGTATATATAAGATTTAGTTTTCGATCAAATATTTAATGGATATGGATATGTATGTGAATTGTAAAAGACGAAATCTAATGAATAATCAAATCATATTCAACATAGAGTTTTCTAATTGAACTTAGATTCGAATCACTAAAAATTTGATTGTTGACATGAGTATTTATAGTTTGTTTATAAAATGATTTGTCAAAATAACATTTTTTATAAAAATTATTCTAATATTAGTACTTTTTATAAAATAACTTTTATATATAACTTTTCTTAATTAAGTTTTATCTTTTTATGTGTAATTCATGCATGAGAAACTTTTAAGAGTAATGCTACATGGACTTAAAAAGTAGACTTAAAAACTAGACTTGATTATCTCAACCATTGATTTCACTGTGGATCCCAGCATTTATTGGGACCTACTACCTATTCAATGGTTGAGATTATCAAGTCTAGTTTTTAAGTCTAGTTTTTAAGTCCATGTAGTATTACTCAACTTTTAAAGCAGCAAAACAACAAAATTACCATGAAAAATTACTTTATAAATATTGTAAATAAAAAAACACTCGTATTTACAAGATACAATAAATTTTGATGATTCTTCTTTAATCGTTCTCCTCAACTTGTTGATTGTCTCCTCTAAAAATGGACTCTGGTTTTGTCCTTGAATTCGAACAATTTTAATAGTTGAATAAAAAGAAAATACTATAATATTACCGTTACACCCAATATCTATAATCTATAATATAAAATAAGACATACTTTAATAAATTTATCTAATAATATTAAATAAATTTATCAAATAATTACTAATATTTTTTTTAAAATCATGCACGTTATACTGTAACTCAATCACGAGTAACCCTAGTTATCTCATAAATAAGCTCATCAAATCTATGACACCAGTGGCCAGCAATGCCAAATGTCAATGCACCGCTATTATCTGAACAGAATGCACATCCCAAGAAAAGGCCCAAAAACCAAAAACCATCATCTTCCTTCCTTCCTTCTTATCAAGAACAGGCGTCACCACCACCATTATCATCTTACGCTTACGCACATAAAGCTATGCACTCTCTTGATACCTCCCATAACGATAACTTCTCAATGCCTATCCATCCGCTCCCCGGAATCATCTCATTGTCAATTTTTATTTTTTTTAATTAATTAATGAATTAAATTTTGATCCAAACTCAAACTCAAATTATGAATTATTATTATTTTTATTAATTATTTGAACTCGAATCTAAATCTGATATCTTATATTTTACTAATTTAGATTTAAATATATTTATATTCAATTTAATTATGATCCAATATAAAGTATTAAAAATTTAAGTGATTATATGAAGGAATTTGATTAAACTTTAGATGTAATTTTTTTATCATAATTTCATTCAATTTATTATATTGTCTCCCTAATTTTTTAAAAGTTATACATTTAATTATATTTTTTATTCAAATTTTTTTAAGCTAAATAAAAACTAGTTTTTTGTTTCATATATTAATTTAGTCTAGAATTTTAATATCTATTTTCGTATTTAAACTTAATTTTTTTATCAACCGTTGAATTATTTATACTTGCATTTTACCCCTCTTACGAAAATTTCTAACTCCATCCCAAAATTCACCTATGATACTAAAAAAATATTTTTTGTTTGATAAAAATGTAATATATATAAAACATTGTTGTTTAATTATTTTACATATATTTTTTTTACTATTTTACGAATCAATGATTGATTATTCATGAGACCAAAAATTATGACTCTTAATTAATTTAATTATGTTAGTCTGACCAAATATTTAGACCAAAATTATAATATAAATGACGTAAAAACTTCTCGACCCTAACAAATTAAAAGAACCAACAATACTTGATTGGTTATTTTGGCCTTAAATTTAGTCAATTTTAAATATGATACCAAATTTTCTTTTGGAGGTATCACATCCTTATCCTCACCCCCCCCCCCCCCCCCCCCCCCCTTTT